AGCTGTAAAAATAGCTGTTGAAAAAAAAAGAGTAAATTAGAAATGATTATATTTATATTCCTACAGTTAACAACACTGTGTATGCTGCATACAAAATTTGGGTACATTTTTGCTGTGGGCTGAATGAAAATGAAAATTTTACTCTAGGTGGGCTTATGGAACATCAGAAATATAACGGTTACCCTGGTAACCCACGTATACAAGGCACCTGCAATGTCAAATTTCTCTGAAAAGCAACAAGTTTGCAGGAGATATAAAGACAAAGGAACGTTTAAAAAAATTAATGATAGATATAGCACAAAAAAAATTATACAGAACAAATGATAGAAAGGACAAACAAACGTTATAGATAGAATTACAGACAGATAAATAGATAGAACAAACGTTGACAGATAGACAGTCAGTCACTGGCTATGCAAGACTTCATCTAATTTGTTGTCTCTCACTCCCTGTTTCTTTGGTCACACCATGGCACTGTAAATCTTGAAAACCTCATTGACATACACCAGTATGTAGCCGGACCCCTACAGCGAGCAACATTGTTAAGACTCCATCACAGAGACAATGTCAATATGTCACTCCCTGTTCACCAACTGCAAGAGAGCACAAACAGCCCAGCGGTTGAGCAGACGGGAGCTCGCTGACGCAAAACTGCTATTCTGTCCTCAGGATCGTCAAGCCACTTTACCCACAGCCTCTCTGTTTGCGGACACTAGGAGCTCCATAAAGAAATCATATCATATCTCGCTTCAGCCGCAGTCAGAGACTTTGAGTCACGCTGCTGATATTAATGCAAACAACGGCGTATTGCAATTTCGGTGGCAGGCAAATGCCATCGTTTCCCCAAGCAAACGGCTTGTCGCTTCTTTGAAATGACAAGCGGTATCAGTCGGTAGGACTACGAGCATCAGTGCACAGATGTTCTGCAGGGATTTGAGCTATGAGGCCAGGCTGTCAGCAGAAAGCCAGCAGACAAATTTGACAATATGGAAGATCTGTCGATCTGTTCTGCCTGTGTATTTGATTTTTTTCCAGATTTATCAGAGAGTGAACAGAGAGAAATTCTCAACGTAGATTGGAACTCTTTGCAGCGCACTGTAAAGGCCTCAGAGGCCGTTTCTAGCCGATGTATGCATTACAGAGATATAGCCTTTCAAGTGATACTGAAGTGCTGTCAGCAGTCTAGAGGGAGTGTGTGTGTGGATGTAACAGCTTATGACATTTATACTCTGAGTTTACATGATTTCAGTGTGGGAAAAACAGTTCTGCCAAGGGGGATAACCGGATCCAAAAGTGCAACTTTCCCAGAGCGATCAGTTCATTGAAAGGTTTCAAAGGTGAAATATGTAATCACAAAACAAAAAGAAAAACATGTCCCAGTGGTCTCTGGCCATGTTTAAAACGAGATTCTTGCTTATACTGATTAGTGTGCTATAAATACTGCATACTAGCGTTGGAGTTTTTCCCTCTTTTCCATCTCGCTTTGAGGCCCCGCCCACACTACTGCGTTTTCGTTTAAAAACGTAGAGTTTAAAGGAATACGATCTCCGTCCACACCAGCGTTTTAGAATTGATCTCCGTCCATATTAAAACGCCTGAAAACGCGGATCACGTGACCATTCACCAACACTGGGCATGCGCGTGCCGGTGTAAACAGGAAACGGATTGACATGTGATGGGTGGCTGACGAATCAGGTGGCTGACTGATGACACCCAATCATAGAGCCGAGCGTGAGCCTCTGCGTCATCGTTTCTAAAGTCCTCCGTTTTGTCCCGTCTTCACTAAAACGCCCTCCGGAGATTCAAAACGCAAAACGGAGCTGCAGCGTTTCTAAACTTCTCCGTTTTAGGTCTTTGTTTTTTCCGTTTTAGTCTGGACGGGAGGTGCAAACGTAGCAAAAGGTCTCAGTTTTTAAACGAAAACGCAGTAGTGTGGACGGGGCCTTAAATCGCTTATGAATGCCTGTGCGGCCGTGCACATTCTTTTGCAAATTAGCAGTAATTCGAGGGAGGCAATTGCTTGAAAGGTGGGTTCATTATTATTCTTAATGAGAAACACAACAACAAAACAGTACAATGTCATAGAACTTTTATTACCAAAATGAATAAGACGGTTTTATTAGCAAAACGAATTAGCACGGCAGCCTCATTCTTGTGGGTGCGCTTGAAGGTGTGTGTGTGTAAATTAGAAGTGTTACCTCCGGATGCTGCCACCTTCATCAGGCGAGCTTTACAGATGGCCTCATTAATGTTTGCAGGTTCCCTATTAGCATTGGGTTTAAATCCAAAATATTGCTGAATAGGAGCTTTTACATTTCACTTTGAAACCAAATCTTCCACCATCGTCTTGTCAGTCAGCTTGTCTCCCTCTCGTCACGTGATAGATGATATCTGACTCCTGCTGCTGATCTGTGCTCTCGACTCTCGTACGGCTCAAGCTGAACTGAGCAGATGCGTTCAGTTTTTAATTGTAAGTGTCTGTTCTCTAAACTAAATTATTTTGTGTGATAATGATTACTATAAAAAATCAAAACGACGGTGGGAGGCGGTGTGGCGGCGGGCAAGTGATGTAATCGGTGTGCAATTAACACAGACTATCGCAGCAAGCCTACTTAATAAAAAAAAATTATTATATATATTTTTAAAATAAATATTAAATATACAGTATAATGTTTGATATATATATATATATATATATATATATATATAATCATCATTACAATATCAAATCAAACAGATTTGCATTGTCTAACTAGTACACAAGCCTATTGCAGAGATATTAGTGTGCTAGTATGTTATTCTGAGCACAGTCCATCTCCGCTAGTCTCCAAAGGGCTAGGCTATCTTGCCTCATTCTCTTGTTAATTTGGTGCTCACTGCCAACAGGTTAAGTGAAGCATCAGTGTCTAATTGACGGCCTGACCAATTAGTGGCCAGAGCTTCTGCTGATTGTGTAGCTGCTCTTAAATCTGAACTAAAGACTAGAGCTAATCAATGCCTCTCCGAGTCCATGCGATAACCTAAGGACCCTCTCTGGCTGCTTAACTCCAGGAGCACAGCTCTGAGCCAGATAATGTCAAATTAAACCAACAATATGCAATGTAAGTCTAGAACTGGGTTACACCCGCATCTGATAAATGTGCTTGCCGGCTTGGCGCACTTGCAGATTTTCTTCTCTGGTGCGCGTCCATGTCAGAATTCCCACAAGACAGGAAGTGTACAGGAAAGAGAGAGAGCATTCCAATTAGATGGCATTCTGCTGTAATCCGCTGTATGCGTGCAGGGACCTATCAGCAACTTGATATGGAATCGGTCCAGCTTTCCAACAGTTGGCAGAAGAAAGTACAGCGCCCTCTCTAGGCTCTCTACAGTTACCCAACAAGGCTAGTCTGCTGCCAACAGCATGTGTGCAGAGTTTTATCTTCCAGATGATAATATTTGGAACTGTTACAAGATCAGCAATTCTTTTAATATAATGTTACAGAATTCCAGCAGAAGAAAATCTATCCACCAGTCATTAAATGCACAGTACTACACACATTTTTTTATGATAATACATTTTGTGAAATGAAAATGCACTTTTCCTGATATCCCCTACACAGTGTACACTGCGTAGGGACCGTGTGAATTAGAACACAGCTTGGATCAGGGTTTGCTGCTCTGTGCAGCATCAAGACTCACTCAACAAGCGCTGCACACTTCATGTGGGAATGCGTTTCCTGTCACTGCAGGTCAAGCACTGTTTACCAAAGTTAGGCTAGTAACTGTCAATCAGCACCTGGCTAACACATATCTATGCAGCACACAGTTGCCAAACCCCTGTAAACAAGCATGTTCTTAGCATTTCAATGAGCATGACTGCTAAAATGAGTTGTATCGTGCATGCAAATTTCCCAGGACTGGATTTGATCTATGAGTTACAAGTTACGCTGTTTATACAAGACCAGAGCACAGAGGGCCGCATCTTCAAAGTTGTGTTAGCATTTTTGGTTTGATAATCTGTCATGCCACATGCAGCGCAGCAAACAAACACACAGCCCCGTACAGTCGACAAAATGAAGTAGCTAAAATGTCAAGTTGCGCAACTTCACTGAAACTAGAAACCATTTTTAAGAACTGGTTTAAGAAAAAGAAAAAAAAGAAAAAATAAGGCCTTGTCACCTTGCCATTTTCGACAAACAAGCCCGGCCTTAAAGCACAAATATTTAGCAGAACATCTGCTATTTCAAGGGTTTGACATTAGGATTATGCCGTGGCCTTTATTATAGCAAGGTGAGTCGGGTTGTGCCTGCAGGTGAGACAGAGACTCTCATTGTGCAGCGCCTGACTGCTGACCTTCTGGTGTTGGAAGAATTTGAAATCACTGAAAGTCAAATTATGACCCACTTAGATTCCAGGTGATATATATATATATATATATATATATATATATATATATATGCCCTTATTTAGATTATTGCACTTATTAAATGGCATGAAAAATGGCATCATTATTAACATTGCTAAAACTACAAAAAAACATAATAATAATAATAATAATAATATTAAAACAGAAAAATAGTGGTAGCTATTTTTCCATTTAAAATCAACTTGATAATATGAAATATTGTCATACATGGCTCACTGCAGTTATAAAAAGGCATTCAATAAATAGCTCAAATTATTTATTTAACTATTATGCAAATTCCACATTATAACTATTTATATATTTAATATATAAATAATAATAATAATAATGTAAAAATAAAAAGCTAAATAATACTGGTAGGGTCAGGGTCTATGTATGTCATAATTATAATAAAAAAAAAAAAAAATTATCTAAATTATCTAAAAAATTATCTAAATTATCTAAAAAATTATCTAAAAATAATATAAATCTACAGTATGCATAGTTTGACTAATGTAAGCATGCGTGAGTAATGTAATGACCAGCACGCAAGAACTGTTGGAGCAAGATTAGCATACGCCAATGACGCACCCACATTAAATTTGATACTCACTTGACGGTGCGTAAGTGTTTAGTGGTGTGTGGAGATATAAGCTTGAAGACCACATCCAGCCCTCGGTTCTTCCCCAGCAAGTCGGCAGTGGTCACTAAAACACCAGATACTGTATGTAATTAACACAATATGAAAAGTCTTTGCAACATTGCTGAACCCAACTGAAAATATAACATTTCATAGTGCTGTATACGGGATCCCCGTGTCAATCTTGTGTGGGGGTGATCGTTCTCCAAAAGATAGACTCAAGGGGGAATTTAAAGAGACCACCTTTAGAGTCCCAACTTCATCCTTATAAACAAGGCATGTGCCCAGATGATATTTCTTCTATTAATATAGTGTGCTTGCTACAAGCTACCTAGCATCATAAAAACTGACGGTTGCTACAGCGGAAACTCTTCAGTGTTCTAGAGCACAGGCTGTACGTCTAGTGTTTCAAAAAACAAAAATATATATATATTTCAGCTTTTATGATAAAACATAAAAGAAGAAGACTTCTGGATGCCTTTTCGGGACGATAACTGAGAGGTGCATTTCTCACGGTCACAACCTGAGAGCTGAACTTCCCGTGCTGGTATCATTCTTAGGATAGCTGTCACATTACTGATAAACAGACCCCACACTATCAACTCCGCATACAGCGAGAAGACGACTGCATTTGAAATAAAACCCAACAAAGGCCAATTTGCATTTTACGGCCGATTACCCGTTATCGCATTCTCCACAAAAACAAGCACTAGTGGAATCGCATACCAATAGTAAATCAAAGGTGGGGGGAAAACCTCCTCCTACCTCATGTAGAGCAAAAACACAATATATGAATCTTTAAGTTAGATTTTAATATGGCGGGTCCATAAATACAGCAGTAATGAAGTTCCTGAGCAAATGGCACAATAAGTACTAAGGCTTGGTTTGCAATTTCACTTGAATGCTCTATAGCTGGAAATCTGTTATGAAAGATGGGAAAAGAACCATAGATACAAAGAAATAAACAGATGTTCATCAAAAAAGCTGTTATATAGGAATTATATGAAACCGCAGAGGTACACAGGCAGAAAGTAAGGTGATGGAACATGAAAATGGAATGAGGCTCTTCTCATCATGGAAAAGCCTTTTTTTTAGATTGTGAAATGTGAATTGTTGGGAGCTGTTTTAAATTTTACACTTTCGTTCAAAAGTCTGTCTTTTTTCCTTGTTTTTAAGAAATGACTTTATTCAGCAAGGGTGTATTAAATTAATCAAAAGTGCCAGTAGACTTATTGCTATTCCAAATTAATGCTGTTCTTTTGAACTTTCTAATCAATGAATCCAGAAAAAAAATGATCAAGGTTTCCACAAATATATTAAGTAGCACATTTAAAAATATATTAAAAGTTATTTTAAATTAGTCATATTTTACAATATTAGTTTTTACTGGATTTTTTTATCAAATAAATGCAGTTGGCAAGCGTAAGAGACTTTTAAAACCCAAACAGAAGTGTATATTATAGTTTTTATTTAGTTAGCTTTTCAAGATTAAAACAGTCATCCCAACTGAGATTAATTCATGCAAAAATGTATTGAAAATTCACGTTTTTTGAGTCAAAGAAGCTACTTTAGCTTATTTGAGTGTAGCTCATCTACTTTAAATCATGAGGAGCAAGCTTAGCTTAGGAAGGCAAAAATGAACTGATCTCACCAGAAGCGCAGAAGACTTTGAGGACCCAAAGACAGGCTGCGGCTCTCCGGGCACTTTTTGCATTCTGTCTTAACAAACCCAGAACCACCAAAACGGCATCTGCCTTCTGTGCTTTCAGACCAATTTGACGATCTGAGGAAAATAAGAAAAGTATGTTACTCTTTGACATTCATTAAATGAACATTTGTATCATCTTGTTTGACAGTGTTTGCTCACTACAGGGATCTGGGAAGGCAACATTTTTGAGCTGTTGGCAGCTGTGATGAAACAGATTACTTTGGTTTGGAGATCAAAACCACATTTGCTGGGATGTCTAATAGGGAATTTGGGATATCAAAGGGACAACTTCACTTTCAAATTCAAATACAAACTCAGATTCATTCTAAGTCTGAATGCAAGAACAGGAGTGATACACGAGATCAGCCCTAAACAGTTTAAGGTTAACATGAAATCAGTATGACCCTATTTAGATTTTAATGCACATTCATGGATGTAATGTGTACAATTCCTTAGTAAATAAATAAATACTGTAGGTAGGCTTCAGTATAGAGGGGAGACCATTGATCCCATTTGATTGTACAGTAGTATCTAAAAGGGCTATATAAATGTTTCATTCATTCATTCATGCATTAACAGAAGGTTTGGAACAACATTATGGTTAGTAAATGATGACAGTATATTTGGGTGAGCTATCCTTTTTTTAAGATGAGAAAAAGCAGAGTAAAGAAAACGCTGTAGGATGTTACAGTATTTCCGTAAAACACCGTAAATCAACTATTTATGGATCTGGGAAACCAGTGCATGTCATTGCACCATTTGAAACAGACAATGATCTCTGCTTTGTAAATGCAAATGGATTATTGAAAACATGTATTGTGTAGTGGAAAATGCGGTCTGTAAAAACCCACTGCCCATAGAGAAATGTTATAGAAATAATTCAAATCTACCACATGACCCAACATCCCGCAGGCCCACCACGACTACAAGCGCTTACAAAAACAGCTTGATCACAAAAAAAAAGTCCCTGTTTGCGAATGAGTTTACGCTTTCAACAGATGGAGTTTGTTTTTAGACTTGTTTTGTCTAAATGGAAAAGGAAGACGTGAGGACGAAGGAAAACATTCCCTGCTGTTTTGATTCGCCCTGTTGCTGAGGTTCATTAGGACAGACATCAAAGTGCAAGAGTGGAACGCTGACAGACACAAGATCCACCGAGGGATCAAACACTCGCTTCTTAAGTTACACAACATCGAAACATTGACCATGCTTGTGCTTAGATGGTGACCTCTGACCTCGCAGGATCGAGGGCTTTTACCTGACCCGACAGTGACCCCACACGCTGTCTGCACCCTCCACACGAGATGTGACTTATGTTATGGCCAATCCATATATGAGAGACATCTATTTTTGTGAGGTGCTATTTATAGCAATTCAGCAGTGAATTTAGAAATACTAAGCACTAAAGATGACTAAATTATAAATCGTAATGAGAAATATGACTTTTTCCCGCAGTGAGAATGACTAAAAAAAAAGAAAAAAAGAGTTGGAGAGGAAAAAAGGTCAAATTGAATAGGAGTTTAACAAATCTGAGGTTATTTTTGGTCCGCACTAAACGTTACAATGTTGGGCGAAATGACAAAAAAAAAAAAAAAATCAGATTTGACGTTGAAGGAATAGTTTAGCTAAAATGAAAATTCTGTCATTAATTGTTCACATATCCTAATGTTGTTTTAAACCCATATCCTGCTATTTTTCCCAGTGGAAATTTCAAATGCACTTTTATACACTAGCTGAAATGTAAGTCACCATTTACCGTTGTGTTGTTATAGTTAAAGGGATAGTTCACTTTGAAATTAATTTTTGGTATGTTTTAGCTTACCTCAAGGGCATCCAAGATGTAGGTGTCTTTGTTTCCGCTGTAGTTTCAATTTTGATATTTTTAGGTCAATATAAATACTGTTCGTTTTCTCACACAAACCGCTCGTTTCGTGTCTTAGGCCATCAATGTGTACTACGAGTCATTAAATCATGTTTAATTTGGACTTCTCTGTGCATGCTCTTTGAGGTGGTGACCATAGACCTGCATTATATGACTGACAGACAAGAACGGTTTGACCTAAAAATAACAAAATTGAAACTACTGTGGAAACAAAGACACCTACATCTTGGATGCCCTTGAGGTAAGCTAAAACATACCAAAAATTAATTTCAAAGTGAACTATCCCTATAACAAAAACTGTTACAAATCATTTTCGGCAATTGAAATAAAGATAATATAGAAATGTTGCCTTGACAACTAACTGAAATAAGTACTAAAATTAGTAAAAAAATTAAAATAAATTAAAGCTAAATAGAAATGTGCAAAAGATAAAATGACACAAGCAGTGTTGCCAGATTGGGACGGTGATTTCCAGCCCAAAAGCTCACCAAAACCCGCCCACTGCAAGAAAAAACCGCCCAAAATTTTACTGCCAAAATAATGTGATATAATTTCATTACCATGTCATTTGAGGTTGATAAGCACAATTTGTATCTCCTTAAAACAAAATAACGATGATAAAATAAAATAAAAAATAAATAAATTTTCCAGCAAAACAAGGCAATAATTAAGGAGAATTAGCCAATATGACTAAAATGTCCAGGTGGACACTGTCAAAACGGCAATCAAGAAATGAACCGATGACTTTAACCCTCGGAAGTACACATTGCAGAACATAACGCAGAATTTAGCAGTCAAAAGTTGATTCAAACCTTTTTCAGCAGCTGTCAGGGACAAGAAGAGTGCTGGATGGTGTAAAGTTGCAGATGTTTGGTTAGGCTAGTGTGCACATATGACATGGACAGGAATCGTCCCATATTTGATTTCAATTCAAGTCATTCAACTGTGCTCTCCTCTCAGAGTTATATTCACCATAGAGTGATCTCCTTCCACGTGTGCGTTTTTTAGAGTTGCTCACTACTGTACACTCTTTTGTATCGTAGGCTATGTCACTTTGCCTTAGCGATCACTTGAATATGCAGCTACAACTTCTCGCGCTCAATCGCGTCTGCCTGCAGATCGCTGATTGGCTAAAAGTGCGTGCTCGTCGGTGATGTCAACACTAACGCCAGCTGATTCTGCATGAGCGTGTGTGTACAGTAATGTCATGATGACTGATTTTATGGACTACATGCACTTTAGTTTCGTTTTTCTTAACCAATTAGACTTTAAAATGTAGATGTTTGAAAACCGCCGAAATGACCCCAAACCAGCCCAAATTTTGACCACCCACCCAAACCCTTTTTTACCCGCACAATCAAATTCAAAACCGCCCAATTGGGCGGGAACCCGTCCAATCTGGCAACACTGGACACAAACACATACAATTACTAAAACTCAAACTAAAATTAAAATGAACTGAAAATATACAAGTAAAAGCAAATAAAAAATATATTAATAAATACTATAATAGTATATAAATAATACTAGAATATTTGCATTTGATTTTTGCAATGCTCAGGGAAATCTGTTTAGTCACGGTAAATTAAATCTAATAGTGCATTCGACTCATTGTCATCGGTAAAATAACACCATAATAATCATAGATTGAAAAAAAATGTTGTGTCAGTCATTCCTGTGTCTCCTCCCCTTCTCCCCCATCACTCACCTCGGTGGCCCACCTTGGCCAGCAGGTGCAGTAGCGGCAGCAGGACGGTGTAGTTGGGTGTGAAGCTTTGGGCTGAGTTCACCAGAGCCGTCAGCAGAGCCTCACTGCCTCCTTTCGATATCATATGATGAATCCGTCTGTCTGTGCCTACAGGAAACACCCGCCATAATTTCACAAAATGTCAAATTTAGGCTGATAACAACTCTTACACCAACCAGCGGTGCCATCTTTGCCACTGGCGGATTATCACAAGATGATGTCTGGGTTTATTTTCGACTTTCTTTCAGAAAATTCGTGCTGATTAGAACTTTGCGCTGGAGGCTGGTGAATAAATTTGGCTAATTACTTTGCTGTGAATTCATTTCAGATTACAGGATTAGTATAGCACTGCTCCACCTCTACAAGAGTATTACTCGATAGATTTGTTGGTGAATAATAGACTAGAATAAGCCCAAGATATGGAAATAAATATCATTGAAACAGTGCAGTTTATATAATTAGATCCTGGGAGAAATGTGCAGTGACGTCATGTTTTATTAGGGCTGCTTTAAAAGGTCTCATTTTGAAGTTAATCCCTCTGGATTACTGCAGTTTTTTTCAACATTTCAAACCATCATATTTTTTTCTGTGTTCTCTCAAATTCTCTTAATTTAAATCAAGTATATTATTTACATTTGTTCATTTAGCAGAAAATTAGAAAAAGGTGATTCATTACACAATTTCTTCACGCTGGGACACGATAAATTGAAATGTATACTGTATATGGTGGTTTCTTCAATTATGGGCACTTTTAGTCCTGTGTTTGTCTTGCCTTTAACCATATTCTGTTGCAGAAAGGATATATTATAAACACAAAACTATAAAATAATATCATACATTTTTCATGCATATTTAACAGGATGACAGGAAATGACAGACAAAAAATTGTAAATTTACCTTGATTTTATTTGGCTGTTTTTGAAATCGCCCCCTATCTCATTCACTATTCCCTACATTACTCCACTAATTTAGTCCACTTGAGGGAGTGAATAAAAATGAGGGAGTGACGCTTAGTGCACCAGATGGGCTGCCACTTTTTTTGTCCAGTTTGTCCAGCCGCTCCAGTAGTAATATGAAAAGATTAATAACTCTGTCATGGAAACTATGTATAAAACCTATTTAACAATCAATTAAAAAAGGAAGTTATACCTGTATGATATTAACGCTGTACCCACATTGGACCAGCGGTTTGGAAAATAGAAATTGGACCAATTATGGGTATTCTCTAGCCGTTGAGCATACATCGGTTGTACACTCGTTATTGCGGTGTATTGTGGGATTGAATGAGTGCACTCTATAATGTCCACAACTACAAATGGCTGTCCCCTCAAATAGTACCCCATTTAAAGGGTTAGTTCACCCAAAAATGAAAATGCTGTCAGTAATTACTCACCCTCATGTTGTTCTAACCCCGTAAGACTTTCGTTCATCTTTGGAACTCAAATTAAGATATTTTTGATGAAATCTTAGAGCTGGCTCACTCCTTCATATGCTTCTAGGCAATTTCATTCTGTTTGACTAACATTGTTAAAATAGTCCAAGTGACTACAGTGGCTCAACCTTAAGTTTATCAAGCGACGAGAATACTTTTTGTGCGCAAAAAAATAATGACTTTATTCAACTATTCATTTTCTTCCGTGTGGGCCCCAGAGTGAGTTCACGAGAGCGCCACGACGCATGTGCGAGAACTGAGAAGATGACGCTCACGATCATTTGATGGGAAAGTGTGAAAGGTAAGCCATTCATTTTGCGGCATTGGTAAGGCACTTTTACGTTTTCTCATTGGTTTCTCACAATTCGGAGAATTGGAAATCCAGGAAATGCACACTTTAGAACCATTTTAAACACTACATCGAGACCCATCTGTGTCATCTTCTCTGTTCTCGCACATGCGTCGTGGCGCTCTCGTGAACTCTCTCTGAGGCCCACACAAAAGAAAATGAATAGTTGAATAAAGTCATAATTTTTTTGCACACAAAAAGTATTCTCGTCGCTTGATAAACTTAAAGGGGCACTTGGCAACTCTAGTCATTTCTTCGCTGATTTTCACTTTTGTTGTCGCATGTTTTCTCATCGAGCTCCCCCTACAGCTGTGCGGCGTATATTTTCACAACACTGTCATAAAAAACTCACTTGCGGCACCTTCCTCCCACTTTCTACCGCTGCTCGTGTGCGTTTGTTATGATTGGGGCCGGCCAACTTTAGCGTGTGGAGCTATGTCTACCCAGCATCATACACAGTATCATAGAATTATGTCGAATTGCCATAAAGCAGTTTGTGTTTCTCACACGTTCTTGCTTCTCACGAGACTTCCTATTTCCAACTTACCGGGACATTAGTCCTCATGTTGCAAGGTTGGTTTTCCGCCTGGGGACACTGGGGGGGCGGGGAAAGTCACCATTCTCTCCAGAACAGGTTATTGAACCATTCAAATGATTTCTAAACGGTTTTATTGAGTTGAAAGAGTTGCCAAGTGCCCCTTTAAGGTTAAGCCACTGTAGTCACTTGGACTATTTTAACAATGTTTTTACTAACTTTTCTGGACTGGCAGAATGAAATTGCCTAGAAGCCTATGAAGGAGTGAGCCAGCTCTCAGATTTCATCAAAAATATCTTAATTTGTGTTCCGAAGATGAACGCAAGTCTTACGGGGTTGGAATAACATGAGGATGAATAATTACTGACAGAATTTTCATTTTTGCTTGAACTAACCCTTTAAGGCAATAGGAGGCGATTTCAGACACAGCCTCTGTTTTCTTTATGTCGCATCTCATATTTCATCTCAAGCATGCTCTTCACTGTCTCCTTTGTAACCGATTACAGTAACTAAAAAAAATTAATTGGGGCAAAATTGTTAGTCATGATAGATATTACACCACAGCTGAGGATTGTAATATGTACAAATTAATATAAATATTTTTTTGTACAAAAAACATTGAATTGGACTGTTTATTTTATACTTTGTTTAAATGATCAATTTAAAATATGATTATTATTATTAATAGGAACAACATTATTAATAGGAACAACAATGACTATAATAATAATACAATATATTTGTGATAAATGTTCATATTTTGAGGTTGAAAGTCTGGATTCAGAATAAGAGTAAACAAAAAAAAAGTAATCTGAAAAGTACCAAAAACATAGCAACGGCATGCTGAAAAGTTTACAAACAGTTTTAATGAGACGTAAATAAATGTTAAAATATATTACAGAAGTAAAAAGTACAGACATAAAAGTGTCCAAAGTTGAAGAAACGCCTCTATATATCAGCAAATTTATTTTGTGGAGGTGGTTTGTGGCTTTATTGGACACACATATGGTTTCACTCCATAAACAAATTTCAGCACACTTGCAATCGGTGCAGAGGCGTGACAGAAAATGAATCAACAAATTTGGCTGTAGGAAAAGGGCATCTCACCTGCTGACAATAGTTCATCCAGGACGTTGATGATGTTTAGCATACTCTCGATATCCCCAGCGTTCTGGAAAGAGAACAACACACTTAAACAATGAAGCTTAAAGTTGAACCTGGCTTCTGCATTACGATTACCTATAGTGTCCACAAACAATTTATCTCAACAAATAGGAAACAATCTAAGCAACTAAGATGACATTACTATTTACAACCCATGTGATATATAGTGTTGAGTGCGTCCTGGCTGGCACAGCAAAATCTTCCAGCATTGTGTCTGTTTTCAGAATGCAATGTGGGCTCGTACCCCGGCGGGGACCCGGAGCCCTGTGGCTAAAAGCAGCAGCAGTTGACGGGTAAGCGGTCGGGGGCCGAAATCCTCAGAGAAGGAACTCCACAGCTGGGGATTCAAGCTTTGGCTCTCATTATTGGGCAAAAATGGGAGAGAACACAACACTGTCCAGCCTGCATCTGTGGTGGCCGTGTCTTTCTGACAGTGGCCATTGAATCCTATTAGGAATCTCCAGAGCCAACGGTACCACAAAGAGTTCTGTCCTGCCAGGGAGCTGCCGCTCTTACCCACATTAGTGAACTGACAAGATATCCCCAAGAAAATAGGGCTAGTTTCTGTGGGATGTTGTTTGGGTCTATAATAATAGATGCATTCTGGACTCTTATTTTAGAATTATTTATATGCTATTACAGTATTTATTAATATTTTGAATTAGCTTTATATTGAAAATGAATTTTAGTAGTTTTAGTTAACAACAACAACACTGGTTCTGGATATAGCCTATCAGCAGGATATATTGTATGATTTATTTAAGCTTATTTTTGTCTTTAAATTGTTTAAAGTCTCCTGATTAACAAGATATAGGGAAAATGTTATAAAAAATATATATTTAACCCTTTTAGATGAGTAGTGCCACTTTAACTTTTATTTTACTTTTTATTTTTGTATATATTCATTAATTCAATGTTAGCCTACTTCACAAGTTACTTCTCAAATCTCATTTATGTTCCTGTACATTCAAATATGGCACATCAAGATGCTTCACATCAGGTTTCACATCAATGATAATTATGGGGACAAATGATATTTGATCATCAAACCAAGAGCACTAAGTATCAATTAAGAGCTGCAGCAGACGAGAAGATTTTCAGCAAATTATGACTTCAATTTTTAGCTTCTTCCTCTATTGCATGAGTTTGGAAGACTCTAAACTAAAGGGAGCACATGGATAATTTTAATAAATGTATGGTCGTTTTTTGACAGTTTTAGAGCATAATAGCTTCATTTTGATCCTTGTTCATTGGACACTAAAAAGTCATTTTGCCAACAAATCCTGTTGTGTCCCACAGAAGAAAGAAAAATCATAAAACAGGGAAAAACCTGAGGGCTAATAAAGGATTTTTGGGTGAATTATTACTTGGTTCATTACTTGGACTGGGCTTTTTTGTATGCGTTAAAATTTGAATGAAAACAATGTTTTATGCAATATCCATATAACTATGAAACATATCATGGGAAAATATAAAATGTGACATTATGAACAAATAAATTTATACATTTTGTTTCTAGGGCATTTCTGTCACATTCTGTGGCATTTTCGCTCCAAATACCCCCATTAATTTTTGACCCTAAAGGTGAGTGGTTTTAATGAAGAAACTACATTTCACTGAGGATGAACTTTTACACTAGACTAGTAGAATAGAGCGTGTGCTCTTTCTTGGAAATCGATGGCCCTGTCATCAACATCTGTGATAATTTCACACAACCATGTTAATTACTCAACATTAATGAGCATGACCAGCATACAGAGCCAGCTGGCACATCATTAGAGCATTACATCAACAATCTTTTAACAGAATAATCCAGTGATACTTGAAATTATGAATAATTGCTTCTATTTTCGTCCGGCATCACCTATGCCAAGCTACAATCAAAAAGCATTGCTTCTCATCTGTCAGTAGGGAGAAGGACATGAGCTAATATTCTCAGGAACCCACTTGAAAGTGAAACTCATTTCATATCCGAGTTCATTTTTAATTCTTTAATGAGGAACACTGACTACCTCTCTGTGCACACCATTAACTTTTAAGACGGTGGCAGGAACGCAGCGGGAGAGCTTTGGCTGAACATCCTGTGTAAGCCGGGAGCCCCTCCGGAGGGCAAACTATTCTAAATAGCGCAGAAAATCTATTAAAAGTTATTCTGACACACCTTAAAATGCTTTTTTACATCTTAGACACCAAAGGAAGGACCTGGCGTGTCTTTGCGAGGTGATACGAGAGCTATAAAACAGGAAGGGAAAAGCAGGGGAAGAATATGAAGAAGAAAAAACCTCAGACACAGCACCCTGAGTGTCTGTGTCAGTCTCAATTTGAATTAGCGGGAATCCCATTTCAGGCATCAACAGCTTCATGTCAAGGACTGTGAATTTGGAACTTATTGCCACGTTTGATGCCAGTCATGGCTGGAGGAAGGCGACACACTGGCTGTGGCTAATCGTGAGGGTATTACTAGCTACCCTTGTCAGTTTGCGTTGTAATAAAGGAGTCAATTCTTCAGAGCCGAGGCCACATGGCCAATGCCAAGCAGTTGCAAGCAAGCATCCTTATTTGAACTGACAGTACATACAGAGGCACTTTTTTTATCTGAAAAGTATAGCTATTTTCTGTCACATTCAAAGGCGCAACATTTGTATTATACATTTTTGTTATTACATTAAAAACTATGTTTATATTTTCATTAAAATATTAAAGATAATATATAGGCAAATAAAAAAGATATATCTCTGGCACACATTTACTGAAATTAATAGAAAAGGATGAATATTACAGTCATTGAACTGTTATATGTACATACACTGCCATTCAAAAGTTTGGGATCTGTAAGATTTTTTAATGTTTTCTTATTTTTCTCTTATGCTCACCAAGGCTGCTTTTTTAAAATGTAAAAATACCAATACAATTAAATAGTTTTACAGTTTAAAATAACTGTTTTCTATTTTAATATATAACAATCTAGTTTATATATAAATAAAATTGTAATTGTGAGGAATGATAATGTCAACAATTTAGGAAGTAGCTAGCTACTTTTGTTTTTTTTTCTTAACTGTAACAGTCCGGGGTGGGTCTAAATAAGTCCGACTTCTTCCCACTCGGTTTCGAGCAATTGACTGATTTATGTTGTCAAAAATTAAATGTTTCTTATTGCCTTTGTTATATGTCACTATATTGCTCGAAATAAAATAAATTCATTCATTCATTCAATTTATTTTACAATGTAATTTATTCCTGTGATGTGTCACATGATCCTTCAGAAATCATTCTAATATGCTGATTTGCTGCTCAAGAAAAGTTTATTATTATTATTATCAAGGTTGAAAACCGTTATATTAAAACAAATTACAGGGGGTGGGGGGTTGGGGAATAATAAAAGGAATCAATATTTTTATTCAGCAAGGATGCATTAAATTGATCAAAAGTTACAGTAAAGACATTCATAATGCTACAAAAGATTCTATTTTTAAATAAATGAAATATAACTTTCTATTCTTCAAAGAATCCTGAAAAAAAATTGTCCACAATAGTTTTCAACATAATAATGAATGTTTTTTTAGCATCAAATCAGCATATTAGAATGATTTCTGAAGGATCATGTGACACTGAAGACTGGAGTAATGATGCTGAAAATTCAACTTTGCATCACAGGGATAAATTATATATTTTTTTTAAATATATTCAAATAGAAAACAGTTATTTTAAATTGTCATAATATTTAACAATATTACTGTTTTTTGTGTTGTTTTATTTATCAAATAAATGCAGCCTTGGTGAGCATAAGAGACCTCTTTTAAAAACATTAAAAAATCGTACCGATCCCAAACTTTTAAACGGCAGTGTTAGCGGTAACGGCAGAGTTCAGTCAATTTAATGGATCAGAGAACAATTTGCTACTTAAAGAAAAACTAATGAGACTTTATAGGACTATAAGTTCAACATCATTTGTTTTAAAAAAAACACTTGATATGCATTTACGTCAACAACGTTCTCTGTTCTACATTTACAAATACATTTTTCCCTTCTGAGATCAGAATGAAACCTTTAAAGCTTTCATTAATCCCACACTGAGCTCATTGCTGCACTTGTTTTTCCCCCTTCTCCTTACAACGCTCTTATCAGCATAGAGGGAATAAATCTCATCTTATGCTTTTCACTTGCAATTAATCGCTTTGACGCGTACACTAAATAATTTCTGCTCCTCTGAACTTGATTTTCATGCAAGAGGTAGAAAGTTATCTGAAATTCGGCACGTCGCCCTCCTGTGAGCACATAAGGCCTTTGCAGTTCATTGGCAGCAGCTGATATACAAATCACTGATATGAAATCAGTCACCATAAGCTGTGGAAGTGGATAAAAATCACATTTAAAATGTACAATTTGGATTATGAGACATTCTGCGAGCACAACAAATCTACTCAAAACAGATATGGAAAACAGCGAACAAAATATAATGTTTACTGGTCCTTTTATTTTAAACCAACAATTACTATTGCATCGATGGATGCCATGGCGTTACTGTGTGTCTTAATGGTTTGAATAAACACTACCACTATTAACTACTAGCAATATCAGTATATCAGAATCAAATTTGGGTGTGCATGAAGCCACGTTATCCCATATAATCCTTTTCACTTAATCACACGGCACTCGAGTATACTTCATTAGGACAATCTTTTCAATCATGGCATTTTTCAGTCAAATGCTTTACTAAGATGACCACTAAACTATATAACTGGTTATATATAACTATATAACTATTAGCTGTGCAAAATGTCTAAGATTCCTGTGGATAGAAGTTTACAGCATTTCACTAATATTCCGCCAAAATAAAAGCTCACAGCTGACATAAATATTAGTACTGTAACTTGCAGTGTAAAATAAAATTATTATAATTTACAGAACAACTATAATTTGCAACAGTAATATATTTATATCTTCATTTTTAAAACAACAATAATATAACAACAATAATAAAAATAATAAACCCTATACACATGCAGCCCTGTAATTTTAAAATAAAAACCCTAACCTAAAAAGATTAAATATTTGATCTGTTTACTTGCATGTCACGTGACCTTAATCTTAAGAGGTACATATTTTACATATAGCCTATATTTGATATACACCCTATATAGTGTAATATTTTACGTCTAAGGGGTTCGGCTGAGAAACAAATTTGAGAACTCCTGGTCTAGTACAACAAACAAAAAAGTGCAACTTTAAATCAAAACAAAAGGTGAAAAAAAACTAACTGAGCATGCAGTTTGCCTTGCAAAATAGTTGTTTACTACACACTAGTTCAAAATAGCGCTCGCAATGACACCGCCATACAGTCTGCAAATTGCAGCTACGGTTTCAAGCATTGCGCTCCATCACGCATGTTAACGTAAACGTTTAGAATTTCGCCTTGGAGTGGGGGGGTAAACATGTTTACATTAAACCACAGGCTCTACTTTTCATGGTCCTGCGATACCATGTAATTAATCTTTCCCACTCAGCACATGGAAAGCGTCCTGCATGTGTGGGCAGTCGTTACCAGCGCGCTTGCTTGCATCTGTAGGCCGTTCCTATGCTTAGAATGAGAGACAATCCAGATGCATGCGTTCAGAAACAATGTGTGTTTACCTGCAACGTGCTGAGGAGAACCTCGAGTCCGCTGGAGCTCGACGACGCCATGGTGGGTCTCGATCGGGCTGAAGAATGGAACGAGGAAGGAGAAATGAAAGAGAGGTTAGAGTGACACAGAGCCAGCACCTTCTCCCTCTGTGCTTAAACAAGACAGACGGGTACAGTTAAAGCCGAGAGGGGTTCAGCTTGTCGCCTGAAACTCTATCTCCCTCAGATAAACCCGCGGGCTGCTCCAGTTGTGCACGGACATTGAGATGAGGCTCCTATTAAAAGGGCCTGACGAGACACAGGGATTAAACCAAGCCGAGCATTTCACAGTAGAGAGGACACGGACTGGAGGGATATCAAGAGGCTGAGGAATCTTCTCCGAGTGTGTGTATGTGTGTGATTAGGAAGAGGCGAGCGAGTGTGTGTGTGTGTGTGTGTGTGTGTGTGTGTGTGTGTGTGTGTGTGTGTGTGTGTGTGTGTGTGTGTGTGTGTGTGTGTGTGTGTGTGTGTGTGTGTGTGTGTGTGTGTGTGTGTGTGTGTGTGTGTGTGTGTGTGTGTGTGTGTGTGTGTGTGTGTGTGTGTGTACATGCGTGACAGAGCTAATAGAGGCAGGCTGTGTTTAAACATGGACTGGCACTAGCATTAAAAAGATGATCTATCCATGAAATGGATCTCGACTGAGTAAATGAACGTGATTAGTGTTGAACACACATTCATAGCTGTGTTTTTTTGCTGCCATAAAGGGACATCTGATGCCAGGAAGAACAATTAAATAGGCAACATTTGTGTTACCAAACTCAAAGGCCTATAGCAGTTTTACCAATTAAGGTAATTTCCAGTCATGAAATTACAGGCAACCACTACATTTTAATCATGATCTACACAAAGACGCTACACACATATAGCTTGAATGAGCAGTTGTTTTTTTTATTTAAAATAGGTTATATAATTTCAGCAAACACAGCATGATCTGACTTTGTGGCTTTGTGAAATTATGCTACATTAAAAATACCTGCACAAAACAAAAATACCGGACGAACTGAATAAAAATGCAAATCCACTCTCTGTCAGTAGGCGGTGCTTATGGAACAGCAGCAATATCAGACTTCTAATATTTGGCATTACAAAAATGGCATCTGAAGAGAGTCAGGTCAGTTCCCTTCAGAAATACATTCATATAAACCCCCACCCCCAGTTCAATATTTATTTTTTCTTTCAATATGAACAGTGCGCTTGCTGCTCCTACTAGTACAGTAAGCTACTATTTTCTCTGCTGGGCTGGCACATCTGTGCTCTCCTCTTTGTGATTAAGTGTGGGGGTGGGGTTATGATTAGGCAATCAGGTAGTTTAATTTGGCAGGGAGTCGAAATTCGGCACAACACTGTTCCAATTTATGGCCAGTCGACTGGTGCATCTCTAAAAATCATTCTAAATTTAAAAGAATAGTTGACTCCACACCACAACTATATCAATATCATTGGAGTCATTTTCAGATCAATTTGGTTTTTCCAGCTGATAAACAATAAAAACATTGACAGCCAATCAGAATCCATCCTGCTTTAAAGAGCTTGAGCATTTAAAGCAGCAGACAAAACTGCAGCACACGCTTAATAAACAGAACGATATGGTGCGTTTGTGTGGACTAAAATAGCTATTGTTATCTTTATAGTTATTGCTCTTGGTGTGAACGGGCCTTTATGTGTCTTGTTTTGACTAAAAGTTGCATTAGGCATACAATTTTATCCAGTGACTTATAAATAGGGATGTACAAATAATGGTTGCTTTGGTGAAGATAGAGATAGATAGATAGATAGATAGATAGATAGATAGATAGATAGATAGATAGATAGATAGATAGATAGATAGATAGATAGATAGATAGATAGATAGATAGATAGATAGATAGATAGATAGATAGATGCAAACTAAATGCAACTATCTCAAGTGACTGACTATTCTAAACTATCTCACAATTACATGTTTCATTATTTTTTCATAGGTGAAAATCAAAAGATATGAACTCATATTGAGAATATTTCTCATCAGATTCTCTAAAGACCCAATGATCTGGGTAATGCCATCCACAATTACTCTAGGGACCGTGCATCAACAATTGTTTCAATTTGTATTTCTCCAAAGAATTTATTTGAAAGCCATACCTGAAGCAAACCTAAGAAATCTAGAATTCTGGCTATGAAAGAGCAAATAAATTGTGTTGTAAGGGCTGCACAGTCTAACTAAAAGAGAATACTGAGAGAAAATCAGTTTGCTTCGATATATAGGCTAGGTTCTTCGGGTCATAACGTTTCTAGACATTGCTTGAGCAAAGATAGTATTAAAGTTGCTTGTGTTCGAGATGTTACAGATGTAACTTTCGCAGTGCCCCATCATCAACAGCTGACGATGTGCTCTTTAACATTTCATAAATACCTAAATAAGCATACATAATACACACTACAAATAGCTGTTTAATTTATCTAGACGATTTATAGAAGTGCACACAAAAACACTAAAAGAGATAGAGCTCTGTCATGGAAACTTAACGTGTACAGAGAACATCAGTTATTGGTATCAGTCTAAAAAGACCTAGTCATTAAACTTACTCTAAAAAGATTCATAATAAAATGTTAGTCAAAATCGTAACCTATTAGTTCTAATAATATTTCAAATGCAAAAGGACTGCTGAATGGTATTGAACCCGAAAAGATCATTGGTTCTTGTAACGTTAGAGCTTTGCGTCTCTAAACACTATCCACTCTTTCTGAGGTTATGCTACTGCATGAAGTGTATGATCATGCAAGAACAAAATAATGATGATGCTTTGGAAAAGCGAGCCAAGCCATTCTATTTCCCAAAGCTCGTGATTGACGTCTTTTTGGCGAAGCTACATGTGGTGAAAAAAGAAGTGTGCGGGAGGACGGTGTGTGAAATCGATGACAAGATAGGCTGACTGCTTTCAAAACAGAGTGAAATTTCCAAAATCATGTAAAGGAATTCTGTCATTTACTCACCCTCATGTCGTTCAAAACCTGTATAGTTTTCTTCAGTGGAACACAATGTCATTTTTTAATGAAAGTGGGTTGTACATTTCCAAATGACAAAAAAGCACCAAAAATGTATCATAAAAGTGGTCTATACGACTAGTGTGTAATCTTCGGAAGCCATACGATAATTTTATGTGAACAACATACAGAAATGTACGTCATTATTGACTCAACGTCTACGTAAAGTTTATGAGAGAAAGTGGCAATGACGAATTTATAAATGAATCGTTCTTTTGAGCCGGACCTTCACTTCACAAATCCGCTCTGAATGATTCGTTCGGGAGTTTAACTCAATGACTCAATTGAAGCCATTCAGCGACTTTTAAAACTTAAACAATTGTATGGCTAGAAAGTGATAATATGCTGTAATAATGCTGTAATGGTGCTTTTATGTCCTGTAAGCTTGAAATGACCAGTAGCCTATACAATTATTAAAAATGAATCTTTTTTTGTGTTACATGGAAGAAAGAAAGTCAAATATGGGTGAGTGACAACTGATATTTTGGGGTGAACTATCTATCTATCTATCAGGCTGCATGCCTGGTCATGGTGAAGTGATTTGTGATTCCTGGAACAACATTCCAATCAACCAATCAAATTTGAGGGACAAGTTTACAGTTTATGTCAAGTTTAGGCAGGCTTACTTACAACCAGGGTTAGGGGCTTCTACATCAGTGTAATTCACCTATCATTTCCCTCTGATTTTAGGGACAAGTTATGATTAGCACTTTAGAATTTTTTTAGGGATGGGGAGGGGGGGGGTAGCACAGTATCTCTACAAATTTACACTCACTTACACTTCATCTCTCAGTCAGACCTTAGAATTATCTCCATCATGGGCACTATTTAATCACATCTGCCGACTACATTATGTGAAAGATGCTAAATGTTCCATCTGGCCAAAGCAAGCATACTGTGTCCGGCTGCGTACGCACAGCTATTTATACCACTGTTTTAGGACACGGAACGTCAGTAGAGGGCATGAATGCTGGGTGATGACAGCTCTGGTGCAACTGATGAGATCAAGATGTTGTTCAGAGAAATCAAAGTGAGGATAAGCACCAAATGCAACACTGCCAACCTGAATTGGCCACTATCACTATGGGATTTGTTTTCTGAATTACGTTTTAATTGCAAGTATTTAAATAGGACATCAGCATGTCATTTGCTTTGTAACTTTCGATTCGGGATTAAAATCAAAAAGCCCATCTATGAAACACACATTTTACCTGGCTTAACTCTAGCAGAACCTTTATTTCACAAAAAGACAAGAGCAGTGGCACCTGTCATGCCGTTCTATTTGCAGTGCGTCATCAAACCGTTTTGCATTAATGGTCCAATCAGAAAGAATGTTTATAGTCAGCAGCTGATGAAGGCTTATGTGCATTGTTTTCATTAGCTGAATTTCTGCCAGTAACCCGAGTCCTTCCTCTACTCAGGATGATATTGTTTATGTTTAAGAAGCCAAAACAGACAGGCTGTCGGAATAAAAAAAAAAAAAAAAATTTAAAAAGCTGAGTAATCTTTGCAGATGGAACCCATACAATATGCACTGTTGGCATTAAAAAAAATTCAGCACACTAAAATCCATTCATCTATGCACAGACTTTTAACTTAAAACACTGCAAAAAAAGTAGCTGAAACTGAAATTTAGTTTCTAATGAATAAGCCATTTAACACTTTTTTAGAAAACTAATGCTGGATCTGATTTAAAATTGTATTTGGATGAGCCACACTAGAAACTAAACCGAAATTGAAAAATTAACTATTACTTGGCAGATATTATTATTATTTAAAAAAATATATATTAATAATAAAAATAATCATCCTAAACACACACTGTAAAAAATGATTCCGCATTTTAGTTTTCTCAATGTAATTTGTAAGTTGATACAACTTGTAGTTTCTGAATTTGTTAATTCAAGTTAACATGTTAAGTTCTCTTTCATAGGTTCACTCAACGCTGCGTAGCTTAGGACGCAGTGGGAACGCCCTCTGGGTGTGCCGATTGTCTGAAGCCCTTATAGAATCA